ATGGGGAGAATGTGCAAACTCTACACAGACAGTCGCCCGAGGACGGAATCAAACCCGGGTCCCTAGTACTGTGAGGCAGCAGTGCTAGCCATTGAGCCACTGTGCCGGCCCAAAATAAATGAAAGCAATTAAGTTAGCACAGATTGTGACTTGTGTGTAATTAAAGTTTGAAACCTTGAGAGAAAATGCAAAATGAAAGATGCAATTGCACAAGCTTTTCCGATTAATATTGGTGCATCTGCACACTCTCAGAAAAACACTCAGTTTGACTTCATTAAGAACCAAGTAGCATGTGAGTCTGCAATGGAAACAACTTCAACGTTCCCCTCCCCCATTGTGACTTTAGCAAGTCTACATTCTCAGATGTGGTTCAATAACATTTCAAAGCTTTCAACGGAAAACATCGACTTGAAAAGAATCCCAGACAACTTGATAGAGGCAGAAACAAAGCACATATGGAGCCTAAGTAGAGATGGGAAGCAAGAGCCAGGCTTGTTTTTTTGGGTCAGAAACATGCTGAAAAGTTTAGATTTTAACAGGGTGAGCCATGTTTTCTTATGGACACAGGATTTCTGTTCATTTACAGCCAGTGAGGGTGGGACTGGAGATGGGTCTCACCGAGACTCCCCACAGACTCCCCACCACTGACACTGCTGGTTTTCCTGAGGGAGGAATTTGCGGTATGTCCCAAAACATTCCACAGCATCAGAGGGACAATGAAATGCCACAGAGAGCTAGAGGCCTGGTTCCTTCCCGTTGGGCATCATCAACGCCAACATGGATTCAATCCTGGAGGCCATGAAGTACAGGAGGTAGGCCCTCTTCCCAAACAGAGCAGAAGGAGGTCATCCTGTAGTACAGCATTGTTCAGTATCACTGAATATTTTCAAGATGAAGCAGACAGATATAGTTCTTAGGGCTAAAGGAATCAAAGGGTACGTGGAGAAAACGAAACAGGGTAACGGAGTTAGATGATCAGCCATGATTGTGTTGAAAGGCACAGCAGGCTTGAAGGACTGAATGGACTATTCCTGCTCCTATTTTCTATACTCCCTGCCTCCAATTCCTCCTCCTTGCTCTGTTGGTGAGCTGTCTCACTACCCACAAGTTTCACACTTCTCTGAAGGGCGAGGCTATAGAATATGCAGCAGACCAGCACAATGATTGAGAATCTTGACGGAGATTATTGGAGGGTGCCACCTAACAAATGCAGACACTGGAATGACATTATCTGAAGCCCGATGACCCACTCAGTGCTTGCTCTACTCAGCAGGTTGCATTGGTTTTATCATCTCCATGCCACCTGGATCAGTAGCCACCTCTTCAAAGGATTTGTTTTGGCCCTGGCTCTTTGGATTTATCCACACACTTTAGGGTTAAAGTGACATGGTGGATTGGAAGAGGATGAAGGAGTTATGGCAGCTACCAGAAATGCAAGTGTACACCTAGAGAAAGCTTTTGTTGTGTTTGCAGACCAGTTTAAGGTTGAGGGAGTGGAAGCTGTTCCTGTGACTAGAGCTCACTGAGAGGTCACTGAGTGGTCTGATGGGTGGAGTGGAGGATGATCTCGCCCCTGGGGAAATCATAATGGTGGAAAAACCTCAGATGTGGAACCACCTGCAATGGATCATCAATTGTGCATGCGATATGATATACAGCTTTGGCATAAGGGGCATCTGTCACCCAGGCGATGCAGATCACTCCGTTTGACAAGGCACATTCTGCAGCTGATCCCTGAACGGATCCATGACAAAGAAAGTCAAGGCCAAAGTTGACGTGGCTGACAGTGGCAGGACATTCATCACTGAATCATCCCACGATGAACATCCTAGGGGTTATCATTGGCCAGAAACCCAACTGGACTCACCACAAACACAATGGCTACAAGAGCAGGCCAGAGGTTAGGAATACTGAGGCGAGTAACTCACCTCCTGACTCAAAGCCTGTCCTCCAACTACAAGGCACAAGTCAGGAGTGTGATGGAATACTCCCCACTTGCCTGGATGGGTGCAGTTCCAACAACACTCAAGAAGCTTGACACCATCCAGTACAAAGCAGCCTGCTTGATTGGCACCACATCCATAAACATCCACTTCCTCCATCACCGATACTCAGGAGCAGCAGTGTGTACTATCTACAAGATGCATGGCAGAAATTCACCAAAGATCCTCAGACAACAGCTTCCAATCCTACAACCACTTCCATCTAGAGGTACAAGGGCAACAGATACATGGGAACACCACCGCCTTTAAGTTCCCCTCCAGGACACTCACCATACTCACTTCGAAATATATCATGTTCCTTCACTGTTGCTGGGTCAGAATCCTGGAATTCCCTCCCTGATGGCATTGTGGGTCAACGCACAGCAGGTGAACTGCAGTGGTTCAAGAAGGCAGCTCGCCACCACCTTCTCAAGGACAACTAGGGATGGGCAATAAATGCTAGCCAGCCAGTGATGCCCATGTCCCACAAATGAACGAAAAATAAAACAAAAAATCAGTGCTGTGATGTTGACACTGATCACAGCACAGATGTTGTGACTGTATGCCGACAGAGTCAGTCACCTTAGCAATGATTTACAGTTGTTATCTACACAGAGTGGAGTGCAGTGAAAATAGCAATGGATCTCAGGGGACTGAGCAGTGCGTTGAACTAGGCTGCTGCTTATTCCAGTAATGGACAGACTCCTGGCAAAGTTCGTCATACTAAAGCTTGAGAAGGACGTTGCTACAGGCACCAACAAGATGATAGGATTCTTTCGAAATGGAGCTAGCCAATTATCACCATTATGGCACAATAAAGTTACCAACTCCATTTTGAAAATGTGGTGGCACAAACAAAGCAAGCTAAAAGTAACCCTGAGGTGTTATCCAGTGCTTTCAAAGACGGCCTTACAGAAAATGTATAACATCAAAGCCATGGCCTAAATGAGAAGATACAACAGAAGTAACTATTTCAAATAATACTGACACATACTTTATAACTAATTGTGACTTGTCAAATTTAACAATAATATTGCAGTCCATACTGGATTCTGAATTCCCAAATTCATCTGAATTCTCCGTCAAAGTACTACAATCTTGTTTGTTCTCTATGATAACACCACTTGTAATTACAAATTCATCATCGCTTCAAAATAATTCCCTTAATCAACCAGAATGCAGTATCTCACCTATGAGATTTTATAGTATTTTACTGACAGAAATGCAACATTTTAGAGTAGAATTTTATCTTTTTGCCTTATCTACAAACAATGCATGCATAAAAATCTATGAAATTCTAACCAACCTTATAATAAGTCCTTAGATACATTCTTGTTTCATTTGATAAAATACTTGAACTGATGGATTGAAATGATCAGATAGTGACTTATTAGAAAAAATGAATCAAATACAGTTCTGATGAAAAGTACCAATAAAACATTGATTTAGTTCTTTTCATTCAGTTGCAACCTACAACGTGGCTCTCCAGCTTTTGTTCTGTTAAATGAAATTTAGTCTGTGTAGAAGATGGTGCATTATTTTGCATTTATTACTCCCTTCACTGGAGATCAGTTTTCAGGCTTTTTGGTTCAAGTACGCTGTTACTGATGAGGTGAATTGATTATAAATATTATAAGTGGTTTTATTGTAAGAGCAATGGTTTGATACCTTGTTTTCACCGGATTTATAGGTGGTTCCTGAATTCTGGTCTTTTTTTCTCTGTTGAAGAACTAACTTTGCTTTCTTAGCCTTTGAATGAGTTTCGTGGCCCATCCTAATAATTTAATTTAATTTATTGTTGACACACGTACCTAAGTATGATTAAACGTTTTGTTTCGCGTGCCATACAGGCAGATCAGAATGTGCAGGAGGTAAGCTGATGATCCTAAGAATTGTTTCTAATATCCTCACTATGAATTTATTTCTACAAGTAAGAGCTGGATTTATCGAAACTGAATCAATCCCAAACAAATAAAATGGAAGTGTGGTATACATTGCTGATGAACTTTTGATTTCAAGAAGCACTTCGGAAAAACAAGCTTCTCTCATTCTACTTATCCCATCTTCCTTTCCTCTCACTCGTTCCCATTATCCATTCCCTTTATTTCCTACACTTTAAGATTTTCACCTGAATTTAACTTTGTGTGGTCTATGTCCTTCTTCATTCCCTTCATTTCTGAAAATAAAGGTTAAAATTATGTATTTTCATTGCACCTTAAACTGACCATCCTTACATTTCCATCCTGTATTTTCTGCATTTCCAAAATTCATCAATCCACACCCTCCACCAAAGCCCTGTCCCCATTCTCCTACCACATCCGAATCCAGGACTTGCCAAAGTGGGGATGTCAGCAGGTGGTGGTGCGCAGCTGATAGTTTAAGGTTGTGAGCTCTGAGGCAGCAGTAAGCTGCCATGGAGTTGTAACTGAGCAATAACTACTGTTTTTTTACCCCTTTCGGTAACTCCCACAAAGGTCTTCACCCCTCCCTCTGCCCCCTGGGTGGTCTCTTTCAGCTAAATGCTCCATCCTTTCCCTCTTCCCACCTTCTCGAATCTCACCTCCCTGCCCTGCCATGAGACTGCCACACTTACCTGGTCTTGACCGCTGGGACTTAAGGCACATGGAATTACTTGTAAACACAGTTCCAGTTACTGCTGCCACTGTACTGCTGGGGTTACTGAGATACAGTAAAATTTGCACCAGCGATCGTTAAGAATGAGTCATTCTGACCACTCCTTTAGTCAACGAAGATGGAATTTACCGACAGGAAACCAATCTAATGCTTTTCATTATAACAGGCAGTTAGCTTTAGACCTTCAAAGGTGTTGCTTTTTTCAAACTTCTCTTTAATTGAAAAAAAGTGTTAAAACATTAGTTCTCCATTCATCTTAATGCTACCCCCACTGGCTTTTCTTTTCACCCGCTAATCTCACTGAATTTTTATGAGAACTACCCTATTTTCCCTTATTACAGCATGGAAGGACAGTGGCATTTAAGGCAATGTAAAAGGACTTACACACAAAACAAGATCATTTGCCATCTCTGGAACATGCTCGGACTTGAACTGTGGTGTCAAACATGTGTCTGCAACTGTGCAGTTAGTCTTCAGTTTCGACACTACCTGAAGTTTAGGGACTCCAAAGCCAAAACCTGAAAGAAGAAATAACACTGAATTCTTAAAGTCGGCAATACGTAGAATCACACATAATTTATCATACACGTAGCGAGTAGTTTTGTAATGTACTTCAGTACTTAGTTACCTGTCCAATGGAACATTCGTGCACAAAAAAAGCAGCTGTATTTGAGAGCTACCAAGCACTATCAATAAGGTAGTCATCAGGGAACCTAATGCAGACCAGATGAGAATCTGATTGCTACAGTTTTCCAATGTGCACATAATATAAAACCTTTCATCTCTGTGCTTTATTTTTTAATTTTATCTTTGGAATAAATTGTATTCTTTACGGTGAGGCATCGGACTGGGACAGGTAGATGATTTTGCAGTGGGGAGTGCCTGTCCACACCACGAGAGCCTGGAGGGGTAAGGAGACTGTATCCTGGACTCTAAATCCCACCCTGTGAGCCTGTCACTGAATGGATACTGCACAGAGGTCGGTATCCTGTCACCAAGTCACCCTTTATTTACTTGTGCACCATACTCTTGGCTGTAGTCAGCCAGCTCAGAATCAGTCACTTGAACGGAGGAGATTCTAATTTCCTGGTTATATTGTATTTTTCTGCTTTCGTTTCTTTTACCTTTAAGAAACTCAGAATGTCAGTATACCTTTCAGAGAAATATCTTCATGACTGAAGTAACTACACAGAGGCCGGGTCTCGTCAACAAGTCACCCTTTATTTAACTAGCGTTTAGTACACTGGCTGTGGCCACCCAGCTCAGAGTCAGTCCCCTAGACTGAGGAGATTCTAATCAGTTACATTGGTAAGCCAGGGCTTTCCTGATTGGCCCAGATTAACAACCCCAATCAATGATCTCGTGGTCAACAAGGGCAACCTGGTTCCAATCACTACATCTCCCAAACCATTCATGATGCTATCTGAACCCCTGACTGCCCTAGTGGATTTCAAGGTTACTGCATTAATTCCCCATCTGTCCAACTCAGGGCTGCTCGGTCACAAACCCAGTATCTCCCTTAGGCCATGGGCCCATTTCTTGGGCACTTTCCTGCAACTTAGGTAAAAGCTCAATGAGACCTAGCACGAAGGCCATTCTCCAGCACCTCCCGCCAAGCTTTGTTCCAATCTAAGTCCAGATAGGCATGAGGTGATGCTACAGATGCGCAGGTGCAGTAAGTACCAAAGCTAGAAGCATAACATTATCTGAAATCTAGAACAAAAGCCATGCTGGGAGGAAATGCTGAGGAGCGCAGGACAATGAGGTGAGAAGAAGTGGGATGATCCTGTAATATATCAGATGGTTGCTCCCCTGACCTATTTTGATATCACCATTGGAAAGCACAGGACAAGCCAAACAGTTTGCGGTCTTGCTGCAACCACAAGGCAAGGATTAACCAAAGGAAACACAACATATATCTTGCATGTTAGGATTTTTTAAATAACTTATATTGATTCCATTGCCCAGACTTTCAAGAATGTCCTAGTCCACACCTCTTCGTACAATGCATGCCTTACTGAAGCATACACAGACAATTAGTGACAATATCCCACACAATACCATCATCATCACCAGGTATGTATTTTCCCACCCACAGATCACAGCCCAGACGTATACAGTCAGAAAAGAGTTAGCCTGTGAGTCCTCAACTTTGACACTACTCCCCATGAAGTCTCGTAGTATCAGGTGAAACATGAGCAATATAACATCCTGCTGTTTATCACCTACAGCCTCCCCCCTCAGGGGTGGCTCAGTTCTACTCCATGTTGAACACCAATTGAAGGAACAACAAGGATGGCAAGGACACAGAATATAGTCTGGGTGGGGAGGGATTTCAATGATCAGCACCAAGGGTGGCCCAATACCACTTCTACTGACTGAACCCTAAAGGATATTGTTGGCAGACTGGGTCTGCAGTAAGTGGGAAGGAAACTAACGAGAAGGAAAGTCATTTTACTTCATCCTCACTAATCTGCCTGTTACAGAGTGGTGGGGTTAGCACATCAGTGCACAAGATAAAGCTGAAGCAGCTGCATCCATCTTCAGCCAGTGGGGGCCGAGTGGATGATCCACCTTGACCTTCTCCTGAGGTCTTCAGGTGCCAGTTTTCAACTAATTCAATTTATGTCACGTGACATCAAGAAATACCTGGGCACTGGATACTGCAAAGGCTATGGGCCCTCTCACTATTGCAGCAATAGCACTGAAGACTTGTGCTCCAGAACCAGGCACGATCCTATCCAAGCACTTCCAGTTCAGCTACAAGAATCATTCATTTGGTAATGTGGAAAATTGTACAGGTGCGGTCTGTACATAAAAAGGACAAATTAGAGCCCATTAGAGCCTTAACAGTCTCTCTCAGCCATCAGAAAAGTAGTGGGAATTATGATTGACAATACTTTGAGCAGCACTTGCTCAACAGTAACTTGCTCACTGACAGTCAGTTTCGCCAGGGCCACTCAGCTCTTAACCTCATTACAGCTTGGGTCCAAACACGGACACATATGCTGCATTCAAGTGGTGAGGTGAGAATGACAGCCCTAAACATCAAGGCTGCATTCAACGAGCATGACACCAAGGAACCCAAACAAAACTGAAGTCAATGGGAATCAGAGGAGAACTATGCAACAGCTTAAGTCATTCCTTTCACAAAGGAAGGTAGTTGTCGTGGGTTTGCATCAATCATCCCAGTCCCAGAACAACACCACAACTGTTCTTCAGGGTGATGTCCTCAGTGCAGGCAGCTTAAATTGTTTCATCTATAATTAATAAACTGAATCCAAGTTCTCCAAACAGCCAATGTGGAATGTGAATTTGTGTTTTCTGGATTATTCCAATCCTCTGGATGACTATTCCAGCAATATCACCACAAGCTTACATTACCCAAGAAATATATCCTCCGAATCTACTCCCAGAGTAGATAGCTCAGAAAAAAAAACATCTATTCACTGCTCCCAAAGAAGTATCCTTTACATTGGTGAGACCAAATGTTGGGTGACCACTTTGCACAACAACTCCACTCTGCCCACAAGGATGATGCAAACTATCAGGTCACTCGCCATTTTAATTAACTCATCTTGCTCTCAGTCTAACATTTCTGTCCTAAGCCCGCTATAATATTCCTGCGAAGATCAACACAAGCTGGAGAAACAGTCCCTCATTTTGTGCTGAGGCACCTTACAGCTTTCGGAACTAAACACTGAGCGTGACAATTTCAGGCCACGAACTCTGTCCTCCATTTCGATTACACTCGCCTTCTCTCAACCAACTCCCTAAAGCCCCAGTCTCTTTGACATGGGCTTGCTCTCAGCAGAGCTGACCTATTTTCTACCATGTAACACCTCTTCTGCATCTGGATCTCTGCTTAATACCATTGGCAATTCCTCTGTCTTTTGGTCTGGGGCATCTGACCCATCTGATCCACTTGCTCGCTCTCCCTCCTTCTCCTCCAGTAGGAAAACTATCACTTTTCCAGTGCCCTTAAATTCTGAAGAAGTCATATTGGATTCCAAACATTAACTTTGTTTCTCTCTCCACATGTGCTGCCAGATCTGCCTCAGCACTTTGCTTGTATTTCAGAGCTCCAGTATCCCCAGCACTTTGCTTTTATTTTACAAAAATTTCTATCCTGACTGCTGAGAGTCCACAGTATTATAGGTCCATATGGAAATCACATGAGATCATTATGCAACTGTATGTCAAAGTTAACTGTCTTCCGTCTGTTTCACCTACTTCATTAAAATAGGCATTAAAGGTCAGTAACATTCTCTTCACTTGTCAGTAAAACATCTGCTACAAATGTATTGCTCATTTCCTCGTACTGCCATTCCATTGAATGTTATGGAGATTGGTTTCAGCACTGTCTTCCAGCTAAATTTTATTGCAGTGGTAAAGAACGAATGTTGAGACATCAGCCAGTGACGAGGAGCAGACCTCCCACTGGTACATCTGGCCATTAGCTACCAGCCCTAATACTTCTATTAATTATTTGTGTCTCTCTCACACGTACTTCTTCAATCCTATTTAAAGAAAACCAAATAACATGATGTGAGGTGAGGCAAAATCTTGGAATATCGTAAGTGTCTGAGCAATGAGAGCTATGGTGATATTTGTGGCAGAATCATGCGAGAGGTCATGCAATATGTAAAACAGAACGGTTTGCATTTTGTTATTTGCCAGCAGTTTGTGTAATGCAAAACCTACAACTAGCAATATATTTTACCCAACAGCCTCTCTTATACTGTGTATTTGCCCTCAGGCCCTAATCATAGAAACTGATAAACTCCAAACTTATTTTTGAAACAATTTTGCACTTGAAGATGCAAACAAGATTACTTCTTATTTGGGAGATGAATCACAAAACCAAATAGTGCAAGGTCCTCTCCAGAGTAGTTAAGAAGCAATTTAAAAGAGAAAATTCAAGTGGACAGGCACATAAGAGACCAGAATTGAAAGGCTGCAGTGATACTGAACCATCTAAGGCTGAAAATGTAATATGGATGGAAAGGGTGCAAGGAGGGATTTTGAAGTCAAAGATAAAAGTTAAATAGAGGCACTGCCTGACCAGGAGTAAGTTACAATTATCAAATGAAAATCAGGAATGGAGTGACTAATTCTTCTGTCCTCACATCAACAGATAGCTCCACCAGACAATTCATTAGGTGGATTTATTTATCCTTATGATAGATCTTCAGAGATCCTTACCTATTATTCTGAAAGGAAAATGGTTCAAAGTTCAAAACTGGTGCTGATGTTCATTTCTCCACTAAATGCAGGAACTACACAAGCAGCCATCGTGATAGACTACTCAGATTTTTTTGCTTCGTTCACTCAACTTACTTTTCTCAGAATGGCACGTTTAAATACGTGCACAAGATTAAAGGCTGTTCAGTGTTCTTTCAATTCTGACATCAAGCTTATTAAATTCTAAGCCAAACTAATGTAACTCTATCCTGTTTATAGTGATAGAGCACTCGGCATGAAATCTCTTGAAAAGAAATGCACTTTGGCTGCAGGG